AAGGTTGTAAATGTGTGAAATTGTATAGGGCCCCATTCCTATATTTTGCCTGGGGCCCCCAAATCACTAAATCCGCCCCTGGATCCGTGTACTGTAGTAGATACAGTATATGCAGTTAGCAGGCGGTTTAAGGTTGTTTTTTTGTCCTGTTTGGTATCACAACTTGACTTCTCTAAAATGTAAGAAAGCTCTTTGGTGTTGCACTGTACACATACTATAAAATTCTGATTTTGTTTTTGTTTTTGTCATATGTGCTTATATGGGCTCCTTATATCATTTGGTTCTTTGGTGTCCTTTTGGAGTTTCTAAGTGTCCTTTTTTGAAAAGTCTTCTAAATTTATCTTGAAAAAAGCTTGCAGAAAATATAGATTTTTGAGAATCACCCTTCAATCTTTTGGTTTACTTTGCTGGATATAGCAAATGATGACAAAATAAACATTTGAAACAAGATAAATGGTCTATGCTTAATTTCATGAAGTGTGCGATTAATCGCGATTAATCACAGGAAAAGGATGTGATTAATCAGATAAAAAATGTTAATCGATTGACAGCCCTAATTATAACAAATCTGATATTATAACAACATTGCATTAAACTCTGGTTAAAATGATGAGCAATGTCTTGCCATCTTTAGAATGACTAAAGATAGCAAAACATTGCTCATCATTTTAACCAGAGGTATGCAATATTCTCATCATATTTTACCACTGTTCTGTATATAAACATAGGCATTTGTGAAACATGAACAGGAAGAATTTGTGTGTAAATTGTTTGTAAAATCATTGTTCTGTAATTATCATGTAAAATTCAGTGCAACAATTGACATCAGCACAAATTTATGAAGGATTTACATAACTTGTGTTTCATAGGCAGGCCCATTGAAGCTATAGTATGTTTGTTTTGCCTATTAAAGACCATTTATATGTAGCATTTACATTGTTTACTGCAATAAATAATATTACTTTAAGAAATATAAAGTAAAATGTCATTTAAAATAGAATATGATCATGAATGTTGGAAAATTAAAAACTAGGACTAAAAATATGCAACATTCCAGTAAACAAGTATGCTTTGTTCAAGGATGAATCGTTCTTATCATGATAATTCTGTCATTTGGAGGACACAGAAGTCATGGTCTGAAAAGGGAGGCTTACAAATGTGAAAAAGTTGGTTACAGCTGCCAGTATGGCCTACTTTACCAATCTCTTTCTTTAACTCTTATCATGTTAAAACAAATAGGATGGTGCTTTCCACCCTGGGATCCTGAAATAGTTTCAGAATCAAACAGAAATATTCATAATGTGATGAATGTACTTTGATCATTGTGTCGTGTGAAGACTTATCTCTTCATTAACATTAAAACAATGTTAGTGGTGCCCTGAGGTAAGACTTCCTCTGCATTGCACCTTCTCTATTTCCCGTTCTCATGGTGCAGCAGTGGGACACCCACTATCATCTCTATGAAGAGACCCAGCAAAAGGGTTTCATCCTGCTCTACTTATTGGGACATCTCTGTGGTAGTATAATTACCCTTATGCGAGGCACATTATCTATAAAAAGGGAAAAGAAGCTGTCAACAACAAGCTTATTTTCCCCTCTGCATGTCTTCCACATCTCTGAGAAATTGCTTCCAGGCAGCGGGGTGAACGTGAATGACATCTATCCGAGCAGACACAGAGCTCTCAAGACCAACTGATGCGGAAGATCCCTTGTCCTCATACAACCAGATTTTTGGGCTTTTATATCCCGAGTGTCATGTTGGGTGAGAGAAAGACCTTCGTGTCTGCTGACATCACAAGTTATTGATCTGAGGTGGGATTCCCTCAGGTACTATATCTTTCTGGGATATTAAACCTAATCAAATGTTCCTCGTTCTGTGCACAGTTTGAATAAGTTAGGTACGGCTGTCCTGATTCGACATTTGGATCAATGAAGCGAGACGTTTGACTTCATTGGACTGTATGATGAAAGGCATAAATATAAAAATATGTTGCTATGTGATTGTACCACATCACGGCAGTTTAGGACATGTAGCCTGGTTAGGAAAAGTCGTTGTCTATTGTGCAAACCAAATGCAAATTGTGCCTACACTCTAAAAAATGCTGGGTTAAATATAACCCAGTGCTGGGTAAAATAGGGACAAACCCAGCAATTGGGTTGTTTTGACCCAGCGGTTGGGTTACTACCCAGAAGGTTGGGTTAAACATTTAACCCAACCGCTGGGTCAAAACAACCCAATTGCTGGGTTTGTCCCTATTTTATTTTTAGAGTGTATAGTAGTAGTAGAAGTAATAATAATAATAGTAATAATAATAATAATAATAATAATGTTATTAAAATAAAAAGAATAGTAATAATATGGTTAAAATATGGTTATTATTAATGCACACTACATGTATTTAGATTGATCACAAAATTCTCTCTCTCTCTCTCTCTCTCTCTCTCTCTCTCTCTCAAATTCAAACTCAAATGAGCTTTATTGGCATGACTTGCAGAGTATTGCCAAAGCACTGTCCATTACATGAATAAGGAATGAACAAGCATATAATACATAAACAAAACAAGAATAGATCTGTAAAATAATTAAGGAAATAAGTACATGTGTACTTTCTTTATTTTTTTCCACAAAGAAGAAAAACATTTAAGAAAAAAAAACTTTGCGCAACAGTACAACATGTAAGAAATGATCTTGCTTCAGTTTTGTCCACTGGCTGACAGTCTTAGTTTGTGACAGGCTGATACATATCGTGCTGCTGTTGTGATCATTTTGGAATTTTCCCCTAAAATATCACTTATTTTTTCTGCATTTGGTAATGCCATAAAATTTGGTTTAATTTGTTGGAATTTGGGGAAATATGCAGCTCTAATGTTGTGATAGTAATCACAGTGCGGTAAGAAATGTTCCTCTGTTTCCACCTCTTTCTGTGAGCACAGTGAACATAGTCTCTGTTCTCATGGCTGCCATCTTTGTCTGTGCCATCCTCTCTCAGCCAGACAGTGATCACTCCGTCTGTATTTTGTAAGTGTCTTTCTTAATTTGTAATCTTCTACACAGCTCAGGTATTCTGCTGGATTGTAGTCCCTTTTCAGGTGTAAATACAGTTCCATCTTCTTTTGTATTTTAGTTGCTTCTTTCCAATAGGCAATGTAATTGTGTTTTTGTAACTGTGTGATTTGGTTGGGCCGGATAGTGCTGTGCTTGTTTGGGTGTAGTTTGAGTACCAGCTGTAAAAGGGTGCGCTTCTGCAGATTATGCTCCTTCCACTGCAGGGCTTCAGCCTGGTAAGAACTCGGATCACTGCATTTCAGGTGCTGGTGGAATTTCAGACCTCTCTTTTGAATATTAATTAATAATTGGTATTGTCCCAATTCAGCTCTGCATGAGTTGTTGGGGTTGCTCTGTTAACTTTTAAGATGTTTTTACAAATTTGGGTACGCATAATTTCAATTTCTTCTTTTTCCCATTTAGAGAAATCTTGGGTTTTTAGAGGTCCCCATATCTCACTGCCATATAGTGCAAAGGTTTGAATTTGAATTTCATACTGAATTGTATTTTTGATCATGTAGAAGACTCTCAGTGCCTTTGCTTTCAGTTCATTTACAGCCAGATTGAAGATTCCCGTTGAGCTGATTTTTAGTCCCAGATAGTGTGTTGGAGAACCTGGTTTCATGCTTTGAAAGTGTATTTATTTTCACCATTACACCTGGGTCTCTTTGGAAAAATTATTTTTTTTGTTTTTGTTAGATTTATTTTAAGAGCCCATGTTTGACTTAAGGTACATTGGCTTACAACTGCTAGTTTAATCAGTAAGTTTACCCACCTGTAGAGTAACAAACATTACAATGCCCACAGAAAAAGCCTATGTATTTTGTTATGCCCATGTTCAGTGAAGTTCACGCATGTACTGTGATAAGTATTTTTTTTATTCACAGATAATACTGGAAATGACTTTTAATAGCTTTGGATAGCGAGTCGGACTTGTAACACAAAGGTCGCGGGTTCGAGTCTCAGGTCCGGCAGGAATTGTCAGTGGGGGGAATGAACAACCAGCGCTCTCTCCACCCTAAATACCACGACTGAGGTGAAACCCTTGAGCAAAGCACTGAACCTCCAACTGCCCACTGGGCGCCGCAGCCAGGGTGTTGTGTGTGTGTGTGTGTTCACTGCTCTGTGTGTGCACTTGGATGGGTTAAATGCAGAGCACAAATTCTGAGTATGGTACACCATACTTGACCACACGTCACTTCTCTTTTACTCACTTTCAATATACACTGAACAAAATTATAAATGCAACACTTTTGTTTTTGCCCCCATTTGTCATGAGCTGAACTCAAAGATCTATGACTTTTTCTATGTACACAAAAGGCCTATTTCTCTCAAATATTGTTCACAAATCTGTCTAAATCTATGTTAGTGAGCACTTCTCCTTTGCCGAGATAATCCATCCACCTCACAGGTGTGGTATATCAAGATACTGATTAGACAGCATGATTATTGCACAAGGTGTGCCTTAGGCTGGGCCCATTCCACAGCCCATTTTAGAGTGGCCTTTTATTGTGGCGAGCCTAAGGCACACCTGTGCAATAATCATGCTGTCTAATCAGCATCTTGATATGCCACACCTGTGAGGTGGATGGATTATCTCGGCAAAGGAGAAGTGCTCACTAACACAGATTTGTGAACAATATTTGAGAGAAATAGGCCTTTTTTGTACATAGAAAAAGGCTTAGATCTTTGAGTTCAGCTCATGAAAAATGTCGGCAAAAACAAAAGTTTTGCGTTTATAATTTTGTTCAGTGCATATATAGAGAGAGAGAATCTTAAATTGAACCTCTTCATGTTGCCATAGTTTTTAGTCAAGCACTCATTTAAAACTGTATAAATAAATAAATGCATATATACGTACATACATACATAAAAAAACATTTCTTGTGTTTTTGGCAAAATGAGACAGATTTAAATAAATATGCAAAGCCAAGTTGGCATGCGTATTGTCAAGTATTGCTTGCATTTATTTGTTTACAATATGAAAGCCTTCAGTGCAGGTTACAGGTTAAGATAACAGAAAAACACGATCAGTAACCACCAAGATTATCCACAGGAGAAGACTTTTCTGGTCACGAACTGTGCTTCTCCTGTCATTTGACCAGCAGCCCTGCAAAGATTCAGAGTTGCGGATGTTATTTTTATTTATGCTTTTGAAATAATCTTATTTCTGGAACAGTGTGTCAGCAGTGTAAAAGAATATTAAAATTACCTAAATTAGGGCACCTACAATAACCACACTTGTGAACATTACCGTCCATCACTGTGGACTTTCCTGCCCTTTCACATACACATGAATGCACAGTACATGAGCAGAGAGTGAACTGGATCGCGATTGGCCGAGAGGAGAGATGATGCTCTGCTTCCTGCTCTATATAAACTCCCTGTTCACTCACTGCAGACACACTGCTGATAAATTTCACCTAGAGATCACACTGCGCAATGGATATTTATTTCCCTTCTGGCTTTCCAATGTGTAGAGGAATAACAGGGCTCTCAAACAATTGCCTAGAAAGGTACGATCCTCATATTGACATTTTTAAGGGTTTTATGTGCTTTTTATATTTTATACAAATCATTTGAAGGCTTAAACGTAAACCTCTACTCTTTTATATAACATCAGTAGGGGCTTGTAATCTTATAAGAACTGTGTATATTTCAAAAGTGTACATATGTTGTGTATTAAATAAATGCATTTCTAACATCAGGGCCAAAAGATTAAAGGCATGCGTAGGAGGATTTCTGCAGAGACAAGACTTGAGCAGCCTATGTAAATATAGAAAACCAAGGTAAGTACAGTTATTGAATGCACTGGCTTTTGCCTATTTCATAGCATGTTTCTTTTTGCATGATAACGCGTGTTTAGTTTTATATGGTTTCTTCTCTGACTGGCTTACATCTTTGCAGGTTGACCTTGGAGGAATGTCTGCTGTGGAAACTGTCTTTTGAGAAGCTTCTGTCCAGCAAACGTAAGTCCACACTGAAAAAAAAGAATCACTCAATTGCTAATAATTTCACAAATAAGTACAAACAAGTAATATATTGTAAGTGTGAATTTGAAGCAGAAAGTCTGAAATATTTTTTTCTCGTAAAATGTACTCCAACAATCTTTGATAATCAACTTTGAAATATATACATTTGTTTGTTTTTTTCATTGTGTAATAAAGATGACCCCATTTTATGTTTAAAAAAACGTTATGAGGTAAAGCAAATCATTTCAAATGATAACATCAAGTAAAAATCTGCCTTAGTAACGACGTACATTAAAAAACAATTGGAGTACGATTTACTTGGAAAAAATTCCCTTCCATTGCTAACAAATTTCACAAATAACTACAAAGAAATGGCAATTAATGTGAAATACTGAGGTAGAAAGACTGAAATAGTTTTCTTAAAAAACATACTCCAATAAGTTTTATTTACAGCTTTGAATTTACAGTTCAGTCTAAATTTAGAGTTAGCTTTACATTTAGATGCTAGAAATAGGACTGCAGTGCACAGATGTGTCTGTCCTGCTTTCTGATCTGTGTGGGGGGCTTTAATCTGATGAGACACGTTAAACAACTAATCTCTTCTCTAACTCCATTTTTCGCTCTCTATCAGATGGACTATATGCCTTCAGAGCTTTCCTGGTATCTGAGTTTAGTGAAGAAAACATTGCTTTCTACCTGGCCTGTGAGGACTACAAAAGTACAAAGTCTGCAGCTAAGATGCCATCCAAAGCCAAGAGGATCTACGAGGAGTTTATCGGAAGTGAAGCTCCTAGAGAGGTAAATATACATAATAAATCACCATATCCTGTGGTATCGTTCCTAAATTGCAGATGTTTGAACTCACTTCCTTTTCGCTTCCAGGTTAACATTGATTATGAGACCCGAGACATTACTCAAGCCAACTTGAAAAGCCCTACGGCATCCTGCTTCGATATGGCCCAGTACCGCATCTATATTCTCATGGAAAAGGACTGTCACCCACGATTCCTGCGCTCTGCTGCCTACCGAAATCTAGTCAACCAGCTCACAGTGAAGAGCGCTAAGGCAAGAAGCAAAAAGGCCATTGCAGCCAGACCACCAATCGAAGATGAAGAACCAAAATGAAAAATGTAGGTGCATTTTGGTTCTGCAAAAGGTGGAAGCTCGGGCAAGAATTGGAAGGGACCGGTGCAGACCCTAACAAGGCTGATTGAGGCGGTCGGAGTGCCATGAAGAGATGAAGAGAACCGCATAACGGAATCAGAGTGACTGCATTCCCAGATCCCCTTAATAGTGTCCATGAGAGGGAACAGCAGAGCTGCTGGTGGAGAGAGATGCATCTGCACAAAAACCTGTACTCAACACAAAGGAGATACAGACTTTACTGAAGTACGCATGGGCTTAAAAGCACATAGTATACTTTCAAAAAGCAAATTATGTGTTTTGTAAAGTTTATAAAATGGAGAAAAGTGTTTGAATATTGAATGCATTAATTTATTTAATTTATTCATCCTTTTTTACAATAAATAACCCCTTACAAAAAGTATTGTGATGGTACCATGGTAAAGTGGTGGTATCTTATTTAAAAAAAAAAGAATAAATAAACAAAAGAATATTAGCAAAATCATCATGAAAAAGAATGGTTTTAAAATAGTTTTTTTTTTAAAGACACTGACAATCTGTCTGGACTGCTGTAAGGCTTATTACGAATGTTAAAAGTTGGTGTACTAGTATTTATTTTAAAGATTTTTTTATAAATGATTTTGTTAACTCAATTTTAAATTAAAGTGAATACAATTTTGCATTTTTATTAAAATTATTAGTAAAAGTTTCGTTTTAGTCAAATATGAGGCAACCAGCTAAAATAAAAAGGCTTTTTTTTTTACATTTTTATTTAGTTTCAGTTAATGTTTCTTTTCCTTTTTTTAGGTTTTAGTTTAAATTGTACTAGTTACTTTCTTAATAACCCTGGATTGTTCCTATTTTTATTTAATGTGAACAGAATAAAAATGTAAAGCCCAGATTTATCACAGATGCTTCACTATGAGATAAACAGGCTTGTTATGCACATGACTGGCCAGACCGAGCTTGTGTTTCATATTTAACCATCAATGCCCACAGGCAACGAACAGCTTCAAGTGTAGGTTTACACAGTTGCCAAGGCAACGGTTTGGACCCAGTTGCCAAAGCTGTCCACATGATTCTCTCAGCTCAAGATTAAGCCTCATCATTCCTGCTGACAGTAATGAGAAAGTTCATCACCCAGTTCGAAAATCAAATACTGCAGTTCAGAAAGAGGAAATACATTTGATAACGTCTTTGCACGAGGAGCCATAAAGATTTGTTAGCTTTTGTATTTGTTACACATGTAATGACATAAAGGGCCATCGTTTGGTTTGTAAATCATGTCCTTGGTTGCTTTCACACTAGACTGTGCATTAAACTATATTGCACCACCTAGACAATAATCGCATGAATACTCTCATTAATCCACAAAAGCAATCACAATTTGTCCACAGAATATGATTCTACAATGAAACACTGGCAATGGCTGAATATTTTAATTTCATCAGCCAAATGAGGGCTAGAAGATGGTCCAGTAGATATATAGCATATAGTCAACGCAACATTAGAAGCGAGTATCTCATGCTTCTTGTCAGATGAAGGTCCTGTTGATTAAAGAGGGGCTACATGTACTTGAGTGCTGTGCTCTAGTTGTAATTTGATCTCAGACTTTGATTATAAAAATATTAATGGGTTAAAATGTTATGCAAGAGGGGAGCAACAGTGGAGTTTACATTCAACAACAACAACAAAAAAAACATTAAAAACCATGGAAATCAATTGCAATATGGTAACCATAATAAATAAATCACCTCATAATAAATAAATCACCTCATCATTATTTGGATTGATTATTTTAATGATTATTTTATTTTTAATTAATTTAACATATTTTGTATCAGGGTTATTTTCATTCAAACTAAAACTATGTACAAACACTTTATTACTCATTACTGGAATTAAAATGAACACTAACTAAAATTAAATAAGATATAATTTTAAAAAAAGTTTAACTTATTTTATTTCAGCTAGTTGCCAAGGAAATTTCTCATTTTTCTCGTTTCTCATTTTTGTTTAGTTTAAAATAACTAAAAATAAAAACTAAAACTTAATAAAATCTATATAGACATATTTTAAAAAAATTAATTAATTAAAATTGAATAAACTTACTAAAACATTAGGTCAATTAAAATGAAAACATAAACAAATTGAATCTAATCAAATTTAAAAATATATTTTAAAAAAACTATAGTATAGTGTGTAAATTATATTAAAATGTGTGTGTATGTATTGCTTTGGGTAATATATAGGCCTATGCATATATATATATATATACACACATATATTCTTAATTGTTTTAGTTTTGTAATTGTTTTAGTTTTATATATATATGTATATATATATATATATATATATATATATATATATATATATATA